TGCATCATTTGTTTCTGTTGTCGGACATGTGCCACTTGTGGGTTTTATGTATAGACAGATAAAAAGACAGACAGACAGACAGACAGATTCAGCTTACACCAAATAAAAGTATTTACAATGAATATTCACCTTATTTACACATACCAAAAGCCCAGTCATAATTCATTAAAATAAGTCAGCATATTCTGCAGGTTTCCTTTCCTGCTTCCAAAACCGAGGGACAATATCTCACAGAGGTTTTGCTGGGGGGTGATGGGTTTTGAGACAGGAGGATCTCCAGCATATTTAAACACCAGACACCATCTTCTATGGGCTGAAACTTGAGTGGGTCATGCTCACTTTACTTCCGATTCTGATCCAAGAATTTCCACTGCATTCATTCTGATCAAGTCATGTATTCTTCTTGCCTCTACAGACTACCCAACCAATCTCCACTGAGATCCGCAGACTGAGGAAATAGAAACCGCGGCTTCACAACATCCAACCATGCTCAGCGGCTACTAAACGTAAGTCACGGCCAAGATAGCCGTAAAATAAAACATTGTATTTATGTGGTTAGCCCCTCTTTCATATACGTTCAGACTTTTCCATTCTGTCATTTTTTCAATATGTGAAACCTTTGGCTTTTTCATTTAGTCTCCCATTCTCATAATCAGGCTGGAATAAACATTTAGTCTTTTCCCTACACTGTTCTTAATCGTCTGTTTGCCCCATTCAACCAAATAAAATCACTTGCAGTATTGTAATCTATAGCATGCATTTGGCTCACAAACAGACAATTGACCTCTAGACTGTAAGCTTGTTTGAGCAGGGCCCTCATCTACCTATTGTTCCTGTGTCACTGTGTAATTGTCTCATTTATTGTAAATACACCCCTTTCATAATATTTTAAAGTATAATAATAACAATAGGTTTAAGTCATTTAGTGGCCACATGTCATATTACAGTCCAATAATTTCCATGAATCCCCCCCCCCCCCCCTACTTTTTTTTAACCATATTCTATCCATTATGTTATTTAATTATTTCCAATATGCAGACATTTTGTTATGTATGTAACATTTGGGTTAAATGATATGCTCCTCTGAATCTAGTTATTTTATTATGTGCTTTTATATTCCTAAATTCAAATACGGGTGTTATAATTGTAATTTCAGATATCGACCCATTACGGCCTACCTTATTATAATGGTTGTGCACAAATTGTCTCATTCTTCAAGGAATTCCTGCTGTATATGGTATGTTTTATTCTTGATATTGCAATTATTGTGAGTTAGGTATAGATTTTAAGAGGTATTCTATTTCAAATACATTTTCTATGTATCTTACAGGGCTAAATTACTATGTTAATTTTCTTATGTATAATCCACTCTAATGCGTACTCTAATAGTCCTTACCAATAGTTCACATTGAGGGAATAACATATGCATCAGTTTGTCAGTTTGTCCATTATCATTGGCTGTTCATTCCAGACTATCTTGGCAATCTGGAAGTTGACATTGTATCTCATGATAACACTGTACTATACTGTTATATTATAGGTAGTTGTTGTTCTTTATTGCACACCTGCCTGCATTAAAGGCTACCTATTTTTCAATAATTTCCCTTTCCCATAGGTCTCCTCAATTAGTCCATCCTTTCTACTTGTAGTCAAGACTAAAGACTACATCAGGTATGTATTTTATCCATTCATATTATCTGGGGACACACCACAGCATTATACCCATTCTATCATTCAAGTATTTTGTCTCTTTAGTTCCATGGATCTCAGTATTTCTCTATGTATAGGACTAATTAATATTAGCGCAAGGTACATTCATTTATCATCTCAATATATCCTGCCCATTACAATATACAGGGTTTACCTTTTATGACTATCACAAATAGTTTTTGGCCAAGATAGTAGCGGAATTGGCTCAGTTCAATATCCAATCTGACTGGAGTTATTTTGCCACCACTTTGCTGGGCTTAAACCATCGTCTTGTGAAATCTGAACTTCAATCTTCCACTCCACCAATTTGTGCCCAAATGAACCTATCCACCAGTCCTAACAGAGAGCAGAGGTCTTAAAAATAAACTGGTTAGACCGATAGTTTTCCTTGGGAAGGCACAAGTCTGTAATAATTTTAATGCGCGAAGTTGCAGCTTTGGCACCTGAGGACTCCTACATGTTTGTTCCCTTTGCTTTAGGGCCCATGCTAGGACTATGTATCCAAATCGCCTTTTCCTGAAGCAATGACTGACTATACCTAGCCTGAATTCTTTGTTACACCACAGTTGACAATGCCATACTAGCAATCTTGAAGGCAAGGGATGCAGCGTGGTAAGGCAAAACTGGTATTTCTAACGCCTTCAGATTGCTCCCCATAAATCCATCATTATGGCATATTCACGGTATAAAAAGTCTATATTATTTCTATACTTTCCTTACGTTCAGAGCTAAAAGCAGTTTATGCTATTTGACCTTTTTGCTAAGATACATTGCTGGCTCCTTTTAAACATCAGTGGTTGTCCTGTAGCCATTCACTATCTCGATTATTTCCTGGTGGTGGAAGAAGCCTGCAAAACACCACAGAGCATCAACAAAACAGTAGCCTTGTTTAATACACTAGGTGTTCCACTATGACCAGAGAAAACCATATGCCCCACCACCAATCTCACATTTCTAGGCATATAACTTGACTCTGTTACCATGCAATCCAGTTTACTGACAGAAAAAGTTTGCACTAAAGGGGTATGTACAACAAGGGATCTTCAATCTTTCCTTGGTTCGCTGAATTTTACAATGAGTATTATCAAACAAGGATGCTCCCTCATTTCACAATTCCTCAGCTAATTACCTAATCTACCAAAAAATTACAGCATAATTCCTTTGGACGATCAACCTAAAGCAGACTTATACATGTGGCAAAACTTTGTGTTGAATTGGAACAGGAAATCTCTGTTCATTCCCCCTCTCACAGACGATTCTCCTGTTATATGGACAGATGCCACAGCCCACGCAGGTTTTGTAGCAATCTACCATTGGTAAAAAGACATATTGCCTATGGAGACATTGAGTTTACCTGCATTTAATGTTACTTTGGCCCAATTCGAGATATATCCAATATTGGCTGCTGTGCTGCGGGGTTCCTTATGCTCAGGAAATGCTGTCAAATACTATTCTGACAACAGTGCTGCCTGCGAGATCATTAATAAAAGAAGGTCCAATGACTTGACTATTATGAGATTAGTCAGGAAATTGACATTGTTAGCTGCTACACATCAATTTTACTTGGTGTATGTACACCTTTCAGGTTGTCACAATGTTGCAGTTGATGCATTATCTCTATCTAATTAGCAGGTGTTCTGTCAAGTGCATCCCATGGCTCCAAGATACCCAACAAAAACCCCAGCTTATCAGGACCTCATCCTGGGTTAGCTCACCTTATGGCACGCATGAAATCACTTGCTGCAGCTGCCTTATTTACTATTATGAGACGTACATATTAGCAAGCCCTTGACATTTGTAACAACTTTATCCTTGAATACCACATTCACAATCCATTCACTACCGATACTATTGTAGCTTTAATTTATTTTTGCCATCTCAATCTAAAGTTATCCCACAATACAATAAAATATATTTAACAGGCTTACAACATACCCCAGCCAAAATCCTTCATGCCCAAATACCCTATAGAAAACATCCTCAAGGGCATTTAATAGTTAGATAGTCCCAGAACAAGTCAACGAGAGCTTAAAAAAAGATCCAGGTTCTATCTGATCTTCTAGACACTAAACTTTCGAAACACAGACAAATTCAACACTAAAAACATCTATGTATAAAGCTTTATATTGGTTTCTAAGGCCAAATTATTTACCATAGAAAAAGCTACATCAATGCCACAATGCCTACAAATCAAAGACTTGACAAAGTCAAATGATCATTATACGTTTACTTTACATCATTCCAAAATAAATCAAACTGGACCACCGCCGTCATTTAATACCATCCAACCAATAGCAAAGGGTGTCCTGTGATAGTATTTGACCAATTTTGACTCATACTCACAGACAAACCATGTAATACTTCTTGTTAAATGATAACACACTTTGCAAATCCAAATTCATACTATATGTAAGAATTCTATTGATAAGACTATGATGCAATCAGCGAACTTTCTCAGGACATTTATTTAGAATTGCATCTGCTTCCATAACATCCAGTAGGAATATACCTGTTCACACTATTAAAAAATTCGGATGATGGAAGTCCAGTGCATATGACCTATACATACCTTAACCTGAGATTGAATTGAGGAAAGCATTTAAAGAATTGTTTTTGTAATATTACGTATTCAAGTTTGTTGTGATTAACCCTTCTTGCCCTCTTTTATTTACAGGCCTACCTGAACGTTGGTTTTGGCCCACCACAAACTATTCAATACTATAAGTATATTTCTTGTCATCTTTCTTGGCTTTTGTCCCTGAACACAAATAAATATTCAAAAAACTAAAGTTCACTTGCATAGTACTCCTCCAGACTACTGAAGGTGAGGGAATGGTTCTCTGCAGGTGACAACCAAGGTGGGGGTGCTGTATAGAGACTTTGCTGTACCTCTTTTCCATTGCTTAAGTAGTATATCTAGATAGGATTACACAAAATTTCTGGCATATTATTGTTTCTATTTTTTTTTTTTTTTATTGACTTCATGACTAACAGAGTTGGCATAGAGACATGGGATATGCCTCATTGGGTGGAAACTTCATTAAGAGTTTTTTTTAACTGGATTTTTCATTTAAAAATTATTATTATTATTATTAGTAAGTGGTAAGTGTCACCTCATATGGTCATATGCATCTTAAACTTATGCCAAAGTACTTCTGTTGTGATTTTTATAGAATTACAACAGTTTAAATCCCAAGCCTTGCTGATGGCCAAAAAGGGGTTCATTTGCAAAACAATTTGTCTTCTCATGCTGGATCTCTAAAAAACAAAACAGAATATAAACCAGTTCTGATGGATATTACAGCCCAACCCAACATTCCAGCGATGGTCCTCAACATATCAAAGGCTCTCTCTGGTCAATAGTACTTGATGCCTGAGATGTTATCTTTCATAAATGATGACAAACAGGATTGTACCAAGGACAACAACGTTTCAATACACACACAACTTCTGTCATGAATGGGGTCAAAGAAGAGGTTGGGACATATAATTCAGTACAACATTTAATGTAGTAGAAAGGAACCAACTCTTTCTACTGTAGTTCAGGAAAAGGAAAGACAACATTTTGTTCTCACTTTGAGATCTTTACCACGTCTAGACTTGATAAAGGTATCATAGTGTGACTGAAATGTCTTTCCTTTTCCTGATCTAATAAAGCTATTCTGAGTTCCACTATACACAAATAAAGCTAATAAAATAATCTAGATATATTGCATGTGCAAGTGCACAACTCTGAGCTCTATGGAGGAGGCAGCAGGTCTCTCCATAGATATTGTCTCACAATACAATATTTTTCCCAAATCCATTGTTAATGACAGCTGGGGGAAGTGACAAAATGGATGGCAATAGCTCCACCTTTTGTCAAGTGGATGAAAAATATATAGGACCAAATAGTTATGTATTTTAGGAGAAAAATATCAGAAATAAAAAGAACAATTTCGGCATGACTTTAAACTTTAGTAGTTTAAATATATTGACATGAGTACTTTTTAAGTAAAAAAAAATAAAATAAAAAATATATATAGATATTATTTTAATAATAAATCATAGATAATAAATCACAATTTGTTTGGAGAGGTGTAGTGTCTGTATGCAAATAATACTTTATTAACTCAGATTTTCTACTGTTTTATACACCAGGTGTTAGTACTTTGAAGCTCTAATGGACTTTCCATTAGCGTGGGATGCAAGAAAAATCAATTGCAATACTTGTCCCACAGGAATTTATTGTGTTCATATTTTTTTACAACAATCTTTCCTGTAAAATGCAAGTTAAAGTTAATAGCCAATTATGTGCATTGCTTACTTCGTACACCCGAACAGTCCTTTATTATAAACTCAACAATCGTTTTTTATTTTTACATTTTTATTATTAAAATAAATTATAGGCTTGTAAGAATAACTAACACTTTGAGGTATAATTATTTTATCATGAAGGTTGGAACTATGCCTAATTCATATAATGAGCTTATTGTAATTTAGGGCTACTGTAGAATAAATGTTTTAAAGAATGGCTATGTCCAGTGGGTTTAGTGCCATTTATATTAAATTACAGCATAACAACAACATAAAAGTATAAAGTAAGCATTTTTTTAGCAGTAAAAGTGTAGATGGAAAAACTATCAAAGCTGTTAATGGGAAACACCAGCAGCTTTTAAGAAATGACTCAGAAGGTCAAAAAATAGGCAAGAAAATATGAAATATTAAAAATTATCATAGTGAAAATATTTCATTAAATAAAAGAATGAGGAAAATAATGTATGTTGTCTAGAGAAGCAGCATATGCTATTAAACAAACTAATAGCTGCAACTTTTAAAGGGGCAATATAAGCACCTAAACAACATTTGCTTAATGGAGTGTTTTTTTTTTGTATATATCATGCCCATGCAGTGTAAGTTGCTTTGTTTTAGCAGCCCTATTCAAACCTGTCCTGAATGTGACCTATGCAGTGTTTCTATGCATGAGGGATGCGTGGAAATTAAGGCCAGTAACAAAAGTGATTTAACTCCAAAATGACATAGAATTGAGCAAAGATAGTTATAGGAACCGCACCCAATCCCTTTTTAGCAGCCACCGGTGCTCTGGAGCAGGACCAGCAATCCCAACACGTCAAATACAAAGAAGAAGTATCCAGTCACTCAAGTGTGAAAAGAGCAGCACCGTTTCGACCTTCACAGAGGTCTTTGTCAAGCTAACACCACAAACCAAACATAAGTGCATATATAGCAAAAAGTACCACAAAAAATTAAACAATAATTCACTTAAGTGCAAATCATTTACAAAATGTGATAAATACAAAACAGTATCAATCATGCATAATATATACATCCACTAAGTTAGGGAATCCATAACTTACCCCTATGTGCCAAAAAGGAGGAGAGACCACAAAAAGTAAAATAAAAATAAACTAGAATAGAAATAAAACAATAATACATAAAGCAAGGATAAATGAGAAGATTGCATAATGTCAACACTAGTAAAAGTGCAAAAAGACAACTTCTGGTAAGCTGAAACGCAAGAGGGGTGCCTGGAACGCAGAAGTCCCGCCCCTTCCACAGATACCATAGATTTACAATTAAAATATCCGTTCATGCATCTACATGCACGAACAGATAAACGCAAGCGCACAACGGGCTATGAGTGAGAAAAAAAAGCTCCCCGTTCATGCAGCAAAACAAACGAAAGGCTCCCCACAAAGCAGCCGCACATGTGCACGACCGGCATACTCACCTGCATGCGTAGCAGCTCCAAGGGAAGCCGCCCACACGAAAAACTACACACAAGTACGCACATGTGCACAAACAGACAAAAGAAGCTTAATCATAAAGTATATATAAACTAATTGCAAATCATAATAAAAATAAAGAGGGTATAAAGAAATTAAAAGAAAAAATAAATAAAATAAAATGAAAAAAGAAAGGACAATAAGAAAATAAATAAAATAAGATAATGAAAGAAAAATATAAATAAATAAAAATAATAAAAAAGGAATAATAAATAACAAATAACTTAAGAATAAAAGTACTAAAAGTACTAAAAAAATGACTAAAAAAATACTAAAAATAAAAGTACTAAAAAAATTAAGAAATAAAAACAAATTAATATAAATAAACAAAAAATAACTGAGAAATAAAAGAGGTCAATCTTCCATTAAGGCACAGAGGGAAAAAACAAAACAGTACATCATAATTACATGTATAATCAGTAAAATAAGTACATTATGAACATAGGTGAAATAGAATTAAGCGAACACAGAGTCTGAATCAAAAGTAATCAATAATAAGGGACAATCGGATAGACCAATGACAATAATACCATATTCATTAAATCACAATGTCTAAATCTATACAAAACATGAATAAAGTATAAAGTTCATTATTCTGTGCAAAGATAGTGAATAAATTAGTACCGCTAAGTGAACAAATAGTCCACATACTAAAGTGCAAAAATTGTATGTATATACATGCTGCAGCGACAAAATTAAATAGAGTGCATATATAGGTATAAAGTGAATAAGTGTCAAACAATATGTATAAAGCGACGAAGTGTAAGAATAGTCAAATATATTAACAATTGTGTTGTATAAAGTATCCTATGTTATCTGTAAAGTGTAAAAATATCATTACAAATGATTAAATACTTATAGTGTAAAAAGACAAATCTCGTATTAAGTCCAAGTCAGAGTAGTCCCAAAATAGATCCAGAATGTTCAAAACAAAAGATTAGGGTGAAAGAAAAACCAGCACCAAATTTTGACCCGGAAACCTGTAAAATACAGAAGATATATAGATTAGGCTATATTTAGCCAATAGTCATAAAAACAATAAAAGCAACCATAAATTAAATAAGCAAAGACAAGTCATATTCATAATTTAAACCCTTAGGATATAGAGTATCAAGTTCCCGAATCCAATAAGCTTCACGTAATAAGAATCTCTTATTCCTATCACCCTTCCTTGGTGATTCCAAAACCTGTTCTAAAATCTGGAACCTTAACTGGGAAACACCAAGTCCATCTTCCAAAAAGTGTGAGGGAGAGGTAAATCAGTCAGTTCAGTGCGTATTGTGGACTTGTGTTTAGTAAACCTAATTTTAAACTTTTGACTGGTTTGTCCCACAACCACAAGGGCACTTTAGTGCATAAATCACAAAATCAGAGTTACACGTCAGAAATTGTTTGATCAAGTATTTCTTGCCACTCAAAGGATGACCCCGTATCATAGAATGGCAAGATATACAATTGTAACATGAGAAATTACCTGGTTTAACAGTAGTTGCAGCATCTACCTTAGTGACAAGAGTTTTAACTAACTTGTCCTTTAAAGAAGTGCCTCTCTTAAATGCAAACATCGGTTTATGCGCAAATTCAACAATATTGGGATGACAGTCAGTGAGAACATGCCAATGCCTATATAAAATCCTACGTAAATCATGGGAGTATTTTACAAATTTAGAGACAAATTTCAATCTGTTCTCATTCCGCTCTAATCTATGGGGATGTAAAAACTGTTCCCTATCTTGATCTTTCATTTGGTCAAGTTAACTATTGAGTAATATCACAGGATAACCACGTTCAACAAATCTGGCAGTCATCTCTCTAAGACGCATCTCAACTAGATCCGAATTGGTTACCAGTCTTCTCACTCGAGTGTACTGACTCTTGGGGAGGGCTTTAAAATTGTGCGCTAGAGAAATGAAGCAATGTGTTCCTATCCATCTCTTTTCTATAAAGATCAGTGACTAATCTACCCCCATGCTTCCTAATCAGAATATCCAAAAAGGATAATATAACCAAATCATAAGTCATAGTGAAAGCGTGAAATTCTTTAAGGGACTCCAATGTGCCACTCCACAACACCAGTATATCATCAATATAGCGCCACCACCTGGTGGCAAATTGTATAAACAAATTGTGAGGATAAATAAATTTTTCCTCCAACTCTGACATGAAAATACTGGCGTATGTGGGTGCCACATTGGAGTCCATCAAAGTACCCTTTAGCTGAAGAAAAAAACGATCCTGAAAAAGAAAGTAGTTATCTTTCATGACCATTTCCAAAAGTGCCATAAGAAAACCAAGAACCTCATCCTTAAATACCAATGTTATCAGGGCTGCTCTGGCTGCTGCAAGTCCTGCACTATGTTCAATAGATGTATACAAACTTGTAACATTAAAGGTGACAAGGATTAGAGTGTCAGTAGTTGTTACCTCCTCAAGCTTTAACAACACCTCAGTCGTATCCCTTACACATGATTTGATATTAATCAAAAAAGGTCTCAAGATGTCATTCAGAAATCTGGCCAATGGAGAGAGAAGAGAACCAATCCCTGCCACAATAGGCCTACCTGGAGGTCTAGTCAATGATTTGTGGATCTTGGGAAGAGTGTACAAGGTGTGGTCTCTAATAAAAACTTAAACAAATCCTTGTCTATAATCTGATTATTTAAAGCCTGGTTCAATAGTGTCTCAATTTTAGATTGTAGAACCACAGTGGGGTCACCTGATAGACACTTATGTCTCACTATCTCCTAATTGTCTGAAGATTTCATTGACATAATCAACTGTGACCTAATCAACTGTGTTTTGTTACTATAGTGCCCCCCTTGTCTGCAGGCTTAATAGTTACATCCTTGTTGTTACTTAATTTGTAGGCTATCTTCTCCTTTTTAGAAAAGTTGGAAAAACTTGGGTGGTACCTACGTGCCCGATTGCCCAACATTATATTGTTAATGTCCTTTTTTACTAAGTTTGAGAAGACCTCCACAGCATGATCCACAGAGGGGGGATCAAATGTGCTTCTATTCTTAAGCTTTGTATCACTAAGCTTAATGTCGGCATCCCTCTGGACTGCAGGGGAGGAGAAAGGTACCTGGACTTTATCAAAAAAAGGTTTTAAGTTTTAGGGAATGTAAGGAACGGGTTAATTCCAAATCGATCTCCACATGTGTAGGAGTATAAATAGGACAAAAAGTCAAACCTTTAGAGAGAACGGCAAGTTCATCTTTCGTCAATTCGACTGTTGAAATATTGATTATTGTAGTTTTTTCCTTTTTGGTCCCAATTTCTTGTGGTCACAAATTGCTGGTAAGGTCCAATTTCTTGTAGCCACATAGAAGTGAGCAGTGAGACTTCAGAAGCATGACCTATACACCAAAACTGCACCACTAGGCTAATGTTGTTTTAGTGACTATAGTATTCATTTAAGTAATGTAGCTGTATAGGAGCAGTTTAATGTTTAAAACTGCTGAGCTAGATGTATGATTTGCAGAGTGTGTTTACTAAATAATGAGTGGGAGAAAGATGGAGAATGAGTGCATTTCAATGTAATGTGTATTATTAGATAATAATAATAATCTGGGGTTTTTGTAGGTGTGGTACTACTGCTGGTGCAGCAGATGCAATGTCTCTGGGTCCCACCATCAGGAGAGGGAGAGTATTGAGGACTCAAGCTGAGTTGAAAGCAGACCCGGGCTGCTTTATAAGTATAAAACAAGGTCCTATGGGTGGTACCAACCAGAGGATTCGGAGCCCATTGTTGCATTCTCCTAGGCCTGCCCTCTTCTCACCTCTAGAACACAGGTTGCTTTCCTCTGGTATGATGTAGTAAGAATCTCCTTCAGCCTACCTGATGTTTAAATTTAGGTCTGCAGTACAGAAAGGAGCCATCCCCTGTGGTGGCTAAGTAAATCAGCCTGTATAAAGAAATGGAAGAGGATTGGAGGCCTGATACCTAGCTGAAGAGGGAGGTAAGTTCTGCTAACTTGGTTCCTTAAATGATCAAATTCATTTAATTGGTCTGCAAAGTTTCAAGCATGTGGTGTATTTGAGCTGCATGAGCAGTCTATGAAATGCACGGGGAGTGTCTGTAAAGTTTATGGAGGTGTCTGTGAGTTGCATGGAATGTGTCTGTGTATTGCATGATGTGTGACTGTAAGCTACATGGAGTACATGTCTGTTAGCAGCATGGTGTGTGCCTGTGAACTGAACAGAGTGTGTCTGAAAGCATGAAATTGCATGGAGTGTGTCTGCACTTCCTATGGAGTTAGAGATCATTGTCTAGAACAGTAGGGGCCTGTCACTTCCTCCCAGTGCACAGGACCGCGCAGGAGAGAAGAGGAAGGGGTGTGGACTGGGATCCCCTAACTCCCAACAGCCTCCGGCACCCAAAGGATAGGAAACTGGAGGGTGGGTATAAAAGTGTAAATTTTGACCAGCATGTATGTCTGTATGTGGGTCAGTGTGTTTCTGTGTATCTCTATCTGTATGTGTTTCAGTATTTGTATCTTTGTTTGTCTGTGTCTGTATGTATGTGTGTGTGTGTATCTGTGTGTCTGTATGCGTATTAGTTTGTATTTTTTCTCTGTGTCAGTGTGTGTATATGTGTGTCTGAATGTGTATGAATATGTAAATATATATATCTGCACATGTTTCAGTGTGAGTGTCTGTATATCTACATGTGTGTCAGTGTGTGTATCTGTGTGTTTGTGGTTCTGTATGTGTATATGTGCATACATCTCTGCATTACAATGTAAACTCTAAACACAAATACACACCTGCAATAAAACATTAAAACTATACACAAATATACCTCTGCATTCAAATATCAACACCAAATAAAAAAATAAAACACACAAACATATCTCTGTATTAAAATACCAACATTGTATGCAAACTCACCCTTGCATTCAAAAAACAACACTACACATAAATACCTACTTGCATTTAATTGAAAATACTACTTACAAACACACACCTACATTTACTAAAGAATATTCCATACAATAACATGCTTACATTCAAACACACAAACACTGCTGAGGATTGGCAAATGGTAGATCCCCAGCTGTCAAAGGATTGTAGGAGTTATATGACAGATGGAAAACTTTGCTATACACTGTTCCTTAAAGGACCACTATAGTGGGAGGGGGCCCTGAGGGTGTGGGGGGGGACCTAACCACCCTATAGTGCCAGGAAAAAGTTTGTTTTCCTGGTACCATAGTGCTCCTTTAAAAGTCTACCTGATTGAGCAAAGTACAGGGTGTGCCTGGGCTCGTTCCTTCTTTCCAGTTTGGGAATTTACCTTTTGGCTAAACTTGCAATGGGAAGACAAAAAGATTTTTGCACCGGGGCCCTCTCTACATTAGTTCTGCCACTGAACTGGGGGGGTAGAGATGTTACTGGCCACTCCCACAGGTTTCAGGTGGGTGGTATTAAAACAAGGGAGAGGTTTAAACCCATTCAGCCTAGTGGGAGGGGGGCCCTGAGGGTGGTGGGGGGGGGGGACCTAATCACCCTATAGTGCCAGGAAAAAGAGGTTGCCCCAAAACTCCTATATATATTTATAATACTTATAGATTATAACATTTTTGATACTTAATAAATAAATAATGAATAATTTTAAATTCACAAAAGATAGTTCTTTTGTGGTAAATTGTTGAACAAGAGGCTGTATGCTGGCTCAAAATGTATTTGGTTAAAGCAATATAGTCTCTTGTTGTAGGGTACTGTAGATAGGCTCAAACAGGATCTATAATGGAACCTCGATATGTCTTGTAGGATTTTCAAACTATGCGCATCATTTATGAAATACAAAAGAAAATATGACCCAATAGTGCAATTCTTAACAAAAATCAACTCTCTCTCTTCAGGGATAGTAAGTGATACTCTATAGTATAAGAGGAAATCAGCTCAACACGTAAAGTGGAATACCCTTATTTCCACAATAAATCTAAAATACTAGAAAAAAATGTGCTATAGAATATACACCAACTAGTGGAGCGCTACATACATGTAAAATATAAAATGTAAGTCTAAAAATGTATATACAGTAGTGGAAGGGTCCACTTACCTTATTCATACAATTATACACTTGGGAATATATACTTGGAGATATAATACATAGTCCAGATGGTCTATAGCAGCAATGGGTGGTAAGAGCAAATAACTAGAACCACTCACATGGACAGGAGCCTATGTGGTATTGGCTCCATAAATTGGACCATTTTGCTCTTTGGGCAGCAACACACCACTTCCTCAGTAATGATCCTCCAAAGACAAAACAAAACAGCAGATCACATGACACCGCCAGTGCATCATGATGCAACTTCCCATGTGCGCTTGGGGGAAGGTCTCGGCGCCGGTCGGGGGGGTGGCCGTAGGACATCACAGAAAAAACTGTGCGTCAGCCTCAACCCCTACGGCATCCCGACCTAAAAATCCCCATTTTGGAAGTGGGTACTGGGAAGGGAAAAGGGGGGACAGCGAGTGGTACTCCCTTTACATAGGAGCTGTACAGCTCCAAAATAAAAATATATATAGGGAAACAAAAGCTTTCCCCCAAGCGCACATTGGAAGTTGCATCACGATGTACTGGCGGAGGTGTTGCACGATCTGCTGTGCCACGTCACTTCCGCCAGCCGTAAAAGGAAGTAGTAGGTGGTTTGGAGTGACACCCCTGACCGCCAATGAAGTCCAATCCAAGTGATTCCCTGTATATGGGGTGGTTCCTTCTGGTCGTGGAGTGCAGATTTTGCGAAAGATACTACACGTGACGTCACTTCCGCCAACCACGAACCGGATAGGATGCCCTATAATCTAATACCTCTGAACCATCAATGAGAGTTTACCAATTGGACATTTAAGGGCGCCAAATTGGATTACCATATGAGGGTTTCCCAATCACAGGTGCTTCTAGACCATGCAAGAAATTGAAGAAAACCTGAATTTGTAATTGGTTAATTGCACATCATGTGACCCCAAAGGGGAGGACCCATACAAGTTATTGAACATTTAAAAAGCAGAAGATTCCTGATGCTACACTACAGCTGACTGAGGAAGCTCATAGACCAGTGAAACACATTTTGGCTGACTTTAGACATTTACTTGGACTTTTAACTGTATTTGTTTTATCCCTTTATATACTTAGTATATTTTGTTTTTATTCTACTATAATAATTTTTACCAGTTACTCCATCAAGTGCTTAAGCCTCCAGGAACCTTATTGGGGAGTGCCATCCCAGAAATTTGGCACACTGCTGATCACCTTAAAGGCTCTTAACAAGGTGAGCACAATGCTTATCATTTACATAATAATCAATTTGCACAGTACTACACATCTGGTCTATTTCTTCCCTTGTTTTGTCTTTGGAAGATCATTACTGATCCCAAAGAGCAAAAAGGTACAATTTACGGAGCCAATACCACATAGGCTCCAGTCCATGTGAGTGGTTCTAGTTATTTGCTTTTACCACCCATTGCTGCTATAGACCATCTGCACTATATATTTCTTTGTGTTTTTCTCTTTTTATATATCTCCAAGTATATATTCTCAAGTGTATTATTGTATGAATAGGGTAAGTGGACCCTTCCAATGCTGTATATACATTTTTATATTTACATTTTATATTTTACATGTATGTAGCTCTCCACTAGTTGGTGTATATTCTATACCACATTTTTTTCCAATAGTGCAATTCGGCTGAAATAATCTTGGTGTATTGGATAATACAATACACTCACAAACAAGGAGCTTCTAATTCAGCTCTTAGTAAAGGCTTAGAGCGGTATGATCCACGCTCACAGATATAGCTGGAAAGGAATAATTATCCATATTTTTCAATGGATATACAGTTGTACTATAAGTTATACAAATAATAATAACTATAATAAGTTGAATACATCTAAAAAATAACAAATACCTTTCTTACTTCAGAAGTCTTCAGTCTAAATATATGCTAAATAAAAGACTTCTGAAGGTAAGTTTGATTTTCTTTTTACATGCATTAGATTTATTGTGCCCCTCTCATTATTATTAGGATGAGGGGTTGGTAGGATTTCTTTTTTTGTGTGTGGAAGAAATAGGTAGGGCCATAAGGACCCTACCTGGTATGGCAACAGGCTCAAAGTGCTGGAGGTGGAAAAATGGCATGTTTACCCTGTTATGTCATTAATAAAATCCAAATCTCATATGTTGTGGGGGTTTGGTTGAGTGAACAATTGTACATCTGCCCCCTATTTCTTTTACTAACCCCCTACTGAACTCCTATGGGTGGAGGAGTGGACAATGGTATGTATACCCACAGTGATCATTTTCTGAGCCTTCATGGCTGGGGGGCACTGGAAAGTCTCTCCAATTTACTAAATAATAGCCCCACCAGCTGCCTGTTGGTGTGGACTGAAGGGGACAGGTGAGTATCCCTCTGGTTAATTTTTAAAGCCCCCCTCACCTCTTTTTAATGAGGACTGTGAAATGTCCTTTCCACCTGCAGGCCACAGTGTGGGCACAAGGGGTGGTTAATAACTAATTTATGATAATGTGGGGGTCATATTGGCCACTATAGGCTTTCTTTCTTTCTATATTTTATAACGGCGATATCTGACAGTATGGTCTGCAAATAGACAGTCGTTGAGCCGGGAAACATACCCAACACGAAACCAGACAGCATGGCACAAAACCAAGCTAATCCTGGGAAGTTGTAGTGACAGTGGCTTTGGCAATAAAACTTCTATTAAGCTAATATATGGGTTTAAATCCTCCAAAGGTCCCACAGAATTCCATGGAAGTATTTTAATCTTGTATGCAATTGTTAAATGAAATAAACCATATTATGCTATACTGTCTGGTTGATTGTTTTTTGCAGTAACATGCATAAAAAGGCACAAACGGTAATTTAATTCACAAGATACATAACAAATTCCTTTTTTTCTGCATGTTACACATTTCCACTGGAGTGTTACATGCACTTATGACAAAACCACTTCAATCCACGTGGTTATTACATTTCTAAGAATTTTTAATATGTTTTAATTTAGAAGGTTTTTTTTATTAGAACTGATTCAAATATTAATTTTATATTGAATGTAGAGTTGGGTGTATTTTCTGATATTTAATAAAAACAGTTCACACCTGAGAGATGCTTTGATTGTAAACATTTGGGCTGTTTGTAATGGTGTATATGTTTGGGAGATACAAAGGTGGGAGTGAGTTAATAATTTGTTGTACATTGAGCTGGGTTTAGTCCTATGTTTCATTGTTTATTCATTATAAACCTGCTTTTGCTTGGGCTAATCCTTCTTTGGAAAGTGACAGGCCCATTGTCTGTATTTACTTTATACTGGCAATTAGAAAAGTGTTTGATCCCTGTGGGAGAGTTACGAATGCAGCCAAAACTTTAATGAAAAAACAAGCGTTCTAGATCCCTCAGCCCAGTCCAGCCCCTCAATGTTTATCATTCCCTCACCCCCTCCATGTGTGTCACTCCATCCTCCTCACCCCATCCATGTGTGTCATTCCCTCCTTCTCAGCCTTTCCTCCTTAAATGCTTGTTTAATGAAAAAACAAGCGTTCTAGATACCCCAGCCCAGTCTAGTCCCTCAATGTTTATCATTCCCTCATCATGTAGTATGCCTGTCCCCTAGATGCCCATTTAAAAAAAATTAAAAAATTATCTATCCCATGTAAATCATCATATACATGTATGTATATATATTTTTTATATGTATGCATGTATATATTTCTGTATGTGTATGGCTATATTTGACATCTTTTCCATACATGTATGTATTACGTTTTATTGTTTAAATAATGACTTTAAATTGATATCGTACTCAAGGTCTGTAACCAATACATAGGAATTTGCATTGACATTTAAGAGTTTTAAAAGACTACCAGGTACTCATAACAAACATTTTATTCATGGACAATTTAGGTAGCAATACGGCAGCTTTTTTATTAAGAGGTTAAATGAAGATGTGTGATTATCAATTAATCGAAAAATATGGTGCATTCCTATATAGCCCTCCGCCCATCTTTTCTATTGTGGCACTCCCCAAATGAACTAATTTATATGAACTGCCCGCGGAGCTAAAAGATCAGAATGGAAAGCAGTTGGAAAGCAAACGTCATTATGCAAGCAATGTGATGGCATCATTTGGATAAAAGACATCGAAATTATCAGACAAATTTATCGACCATAGTAGAATGCATATGCACTTTATATGCACTTTGTATTTTGCCTGAATAGCACTGATTTGTCCCTGAGAAAGTCCCTGGGTGGGCTGAAATGCGTAGGACCAATGTGTAGGACCAACCTTTGTGATCAGGTTACATCTGCTTATACTAACTTTGATGTAAGTCAATAAATTTGCATTGTCCACTTTATTTGTTTGCCTTTTATTTGGATTGCACCTTGTCTCTCCTTATTCTGAGATATTCAAAGCTCGTAAAAGATTGTGAACAGATCTACATCTACATCCATTATACTGAAGGCTCTTTTATCTTTTACAAATTGTGAGTGGCCATTTGGCGCATACTTTCATTATAATTTGGTCACAAAGTTTTGCACTATATTGTGCCATTTCTTCACTGACAGGATAACCCCTATTTTTATACATGGATATCTCCTGAGGGAGTTATTCAAGAATATAAAGGAAAGGGAAAAAAGGATCAGCGCTCACGGGTCACAACAAACAAAGGCAGCTCATCTAGGTTAATGGGACTCCCTCGCAATTAAAAGGTGTGTATATAGAAAAAAGGAGAAAGGTTGCGGTAATAATATATTTATACTTACGATTGTATGTTACAATATATTTATACTGTTATAAATATATAAAAAATGTATATAGAAGGACTGTATAAAAATATATATAAGAAATAATCAGGATACTAGAAGTAGCATATAAAAAGATAGAAATGTCCATAATAATGTCCAAAAATGTCCCTGCCCAACATGGAGTCCCTGTCACGTGTCCCTGGGATTGATTTCCAGTTCAGTAGCTCTTATTGTTATTTATGAGCTCCATGGTTGCCATATCACTCTGTAATGAGGGTAGTGGACCATATCAGTTCTTCCAGAATATGATGGTGTTCTACTTTGTCAAGTAGGTAAGTTAGTGAAGGTATAGTAGTTGATCTCCAAAAGGTAGTGATCGCTAATTTAGCAGCGACGAGGATAAAAAAAGATTATAGAGTATTTGTATTTTTCTTATGGGCAATGTCTAGCATGGAGGGGATATCAATAGCATCTGACCTCTTTAATAAGTGTTCGTACCACTCTCCAGAAAGGTCATATATCAGCACAGCACCTCCAGCAACAAGCTGGAACTGTTGGGATATACCTATGGATGTCAGCTGGGACATTGCACCATCTAGAAATCCGTTTATAGTTTGCTTCCAATTAAGAAACACTAGGGTGGGAGTGAGAAATGCTATAGAAGATCTTATACCAGTCTTTGTGGTCAATGTGGTCATTCCAGAAGCATGGGATGTTTTATCGGTTGAAGCAATTTATAACATATGAATAAACGTTTTGGGATCGGTTTTGTGCCAGAGCATAGGATTTCAAATTTAGATTTTGTACGAAGCCAAGTAGAAGGTATCTGCTTCTGTACAAAGTGTTTCAGCTGTGCCTACTGGAGCATTTGTAAGAGATTGTGGTGGGCATTTGGGGAGAGGTCAGACGATTGTCTTGTTATGGTTTGATTGTCTTGTTATGATATACAAGCAATTAAAGATTGTATGCACACAGGTGTCTAAGGGGAAATGTAAGACCCTTCAGTCCAGTTTACAGTAGAAAACCCCACCTCTATCTCATTGTCAGATTACAGTAGAAAAATTAATAGTGGTCTCCCATTAGCCCAAAAATTTTTATAAATACAGATTGATGTTGCTTAAAAAAGGATCCAGTGTCGACATTAGATATAGTATTTTGGAAAGAGTGTTCATAGTAAGAATGTTCACTCTACCAAGCCATCTGAAATGTGGTTGGTTACATTTTGAGATCTGTTGATATCTCTGCCAATAAACATGGAAAATTAGTGGGGTAAAAGAGTTTGGTCGGGTAAGATTGACACCCAGGTATTTAAAGGATCAAGGCAGGTGTCATATGTGCAGGTATAGTTAAGTTAAGAATTTTGCTTTTATCTATATTGGACCTAAAATTAGACATAGTGCTAGATTTCTCCAGTTCTTCCATCAGTGGAGGTAGACAATGTTCGGGATGGGATAATGTAAATATAAGATCGGCAAATTACAATACTTTTGTTTAAGTGGGGAGGAGGAGGTGGTATCCAAGTTGGGGTCTAAGATGAAGTTTGTATCTCCTCCAACTATAATGTCTCCAAATCTATGTGCGTTTGCTAATGTAAGGATCTTGTCTAAGAAAATATGTTGGTCGGTATGAGGTCCATATATATTAATTAGTGTATACTGGTTATTGTTGATTATGCATTGGAGAAGGAGAAATCTCCCATCTTTGTCACTTATCTTTTTTTATTAGTTGGAAAGAGACTTTTTTGTTAATTAATATTGCCACTCCCCGTTTTTTGTCTTATATGTGCTGTGATATCCTATAGGAAAATGTTTGGAAGGGAATTTTGGGTAGTTTGTTGTTTGGAAATGTGTCTCTTGATAAAAGGCCACATGGGCCTTATTATTTTTTGCTTCCTGGAGTGCTATTCTCAGTTTATGCGGGGAGTTCAAGCCCTTGACATTGATTGATATAATATTAAGCGTCATGGCTCAGGGGAGATTAGGAGCTGTGGGTTGCTGCAGCATTGTACAGTGAGCCCAGTGTACTAAAATGGCTTGGATGCCCATTTGGGTTTGTATAGGCATTTTCCATGTATGGTCTGGTAATCTATATGGTCTCTGGGTCAAGACCGCTCGCCCTTTTGTAGTGAAGTCATGTATAAGGTGGATGTTGATCATACTTTGAGAATCTGTCATTGGGAAAATCATAGAAGGGAGAGGAGAAATAGGAACAGTGATAACTTAAAACAAAAAGCAAACTATATAGAATGTTGAGGTCTCCATTTCGAGACCTGGTAGTCTTCACTGCCAGCAGGCAATAAAGCCCACCTTGGGGGAGTCTTTCCCTAGTTTACTTGAATATTACACTTAATCTAGAAACCTATAGCACAAGTATAACATTTTTCATTGTTGGCATATTCCCAACTATGTCAAGGCCTTATAGACATATTCAGGTTAGTACTAGCCTAACAACCTTAGACATTATCTAACACCTTTTCTAACAGTAGGGTTAACTTCAAATCTATTCAGAGAGTAATCGATAATACATATACAAAGGCACAGGTACAGTCTGTGTGAGGATTAGAGATATCACCAGAGGGCATCTAGGGCCCGTGTGCTTTAATTGTGCATAAGTCACTTAGCTGTAGCTGCAGTTTTCCAATCGTGGGGGATCTTCATCGGAGAAGTAGAGAGTTGGCGTTTGGATGTTGTCCCAGTGGAGGTCTCCATTCTCCATGATTTTCCATTCTGTCAGTTTTTCTCCATCTTCTGGGCTAAGTATATGGTGTTCCACGTCATTTCTCCTCACTAGGATTCTTGCTGGGAAGCCCCATTTGTATGGAATGTCCGCTGTGCGCAGAGCTCTTGTGACTTGCATAAACATTTTCCTCGTTGCCAGTGTGGTAGCTGACAGGTCTGTGTATAGCTGGATATTCTTGTATTCTTCTGGAAATACTTGTAATTTTCTGGCTGCTTGCATGAGTGCCTCTTTAGTTGTATAGTAGTGTACCCTAGTAATTGTATCTCTCGGTAGAGTGGATGTCAGGATTTTTGGTCTTGGTAGTCTGTGAATCCTGTCCAACAAGGGGGCTGATTCTGGAATATCAGTTAATAGCATTTTGAACATTGCTAAAGTGAATTTCCCCAGGTCAGCCGGCTTGATGTCTTCTGGAATCCCGCGGATGCGAATATTGTTCTGCCTATCCCTGTCTTCGTGGTCGGCAAGTTTGAGTAGTATGGAGTTTAGTTTAGTGTCCATGGTTTCATAGGCCACAGCCACGTTATTATGTGCGGATATGAGTTCTTCTGTCTTTGTTTCTAAATAGTCAGTGCACTTTCCGAGTGCGTGAACATCTGACCTTATTTCTTTAGCCAGTTTGGCGAAGTCTGCTTGCAAGGAAGTTTGTAGTTTCAGCAGCATTTTTTTGATTGAAGAGTCCGTGGCTGGGATTATTTTCGTCGATATGGATGTTTAATCGCTGCGGCCGGAGCTCGATGCTGGTGAAGCAGGTCCGTCGACGCCATCTTGTGTGCGACGCTGCGGTGATTGCAATGCCACAAAATGCAGGGATGCTGGTTTTATTTTTGCTTTTTTGGCAGATCTTTGTGTCATCTCGTTGAGGGGGATCTCCTGGTGTGCTAAGATCGTTTTTCATGCTGTCTGTTTAGTATAATCGCTGTATTTGTCTGACTCTCTCTGGTAGCTGATTGTTCACGCGTCCATCTTCTTGAACAGTCAGGCCACGCCCCCAAATGACAATACTTTTAAGTTATGATGTGAGCCTTGGAAGCCCAATATATTGAGGCGAGTTCTCACCACCTGTAATAACTTTTCAACTGTCAATATAAACAATAGGGGGCACCCCTGGAATTG